GGTGCTTCATAAAAAGAAGGAAGAAATCGGCTATAAAAGTAAAGTTTTCTATTTTCTTAGTTTTAAAATAAACAGAAAATTAAATATTTTTATAACAAAGTTAGTTGACCTGGATTTTTAGTTTTACGGAGGTCATATATCAGTTTTTGGTCCGAAGGGTCTCAACTTCTGCTCTCCGAGCCTCGCCGTAATTTCCAGGAAACATTCACCATGAAACTCTCTTTCTCTATCCCTCCCAAATCCAAATCCAGAGTTAGGCCGATTTCCGAGAGGAAGGATTCTGTCGGTGAAGGCAATCCCAAGCAGTTCGTCACTGAATTCGATCCTACCGAAACCCTAACTGACGCCAAACCCAAATACATAATACCTCCTCTCGAGGACCGTCGAAGACCCTACAAGGAGACCAAGAGCATCGATCTCCTTCGTCAGTCCGCTTCTGGTCTCAAATTCGAAGCCGAGACTCCCACTGCTTCCGAAAATATTGCATACGGTCTGAATCTGCGTCAGAACGGAGGCTCAAAGCCAGAGCCTGTGGAGCAGATGTTACTAAAAAGCATGAGGAAAGATCTGGAGTCACTCCCTGATGCTCCTCAACTGGAGGATTTCGAGAGCGTTCCTGTGGAAGGCTTTGGAGCGGCGTTACTGGCTGGGTACGGGTGGAAGCCAGGCCAGGGAATAGGTCTTAAGGCCAAAGAGGATGTTCAGATTGTTGAATACAACAAGTGGACTGGTAATGAAGGATTTGGCTTCCATCTGGTTAAGGGCACGCATGCTAAAGGTAAAGAAAGTTGTAACTTGGATGTATCTGTTGCTGGAAAAAAGGTCACAACTATCGCAGGGAGACAAGTAGGCTTAGAGGGAGAAATAAAAGTTGATAGCAATGAGCTTAAAACTGTTGATACATATAGAAAAGCAGGTAAACGAAGTAGAGAAACAGATAGAGGGAATCACACTGAAATTAGACCAAGTAAGCAGAATGATAGAGGTCGAAATAGAGAGAAGGCTTCATGGCTGAGGAGTCATATAAAAGTGCGGATAGTAAGCAAGAATTTGAAAGGTGGAAGATTGTATCTTAAGAAAGGAGTGGTGACCGATGTGGTTGGACCAACTACTTGTGATATCACTATGGATGAGACACAAGAATTGGTTCAAGGGATTGATCACAAGTTTCTAGAGACCGCATTGCCCAGACGAGGAGGGGCTGTCTTGATTTTATCTGGTAGACATAAGGGTATTTATGGGAGTCTCGTTGAAAAAGATTTGGAAAAGGAAACAGGTGTGGTTTGTGATGCAGACAGCCAGGAGATGCTCCATATTAAGCTTGAACAAGTCGCTGAGTACATGGGTGATCCGGGTGATATTGGATACTGAGCCATTTTTCTGTGAAGCAGAAATGGTGACATCAGGTATCAAAAGCACGCTTTTTTGTTATCAGTTGGTGGTGTTGACACGATATGCTTTAGCTTGTTGCCTTTTTGTTTTGCAAGTTCAAGTTACGTAGACTTTTGGGTATGCAAAGTTATAAAAGAAGCAGACTTAAGTTTTTATTTTAATAGATAAACTATTTCTCTTTGTTGTGGCATTGATTACTTGCAAGTTCAGCTGGAATTCGAGAGATATGGATATGTTATTATTGCCTGTATGAGATGTGTGTGCTAGGGAATGGACCAGAACGTTATAGTCCCTTATCTAATATACTTTGCATGTGGAACCAAATATGAATATTGTAAAGGATTTTGATGCCAATAATTGTACGTATACTTTGTGAATGAGAAGCTTTTAAACTGAGGCACAAATGTTATTTTGTATTCTTAAGGTTGAGTAGGTACTGATGATGTCCTATATGCATTTTATATTTGATGATAACCTGTGTGCTCGAGTCTTTAGACTCCCTCCCTTGTATTAATATGAAGTTAGATTTTGCTGATGAAAAACAGAGAGCAGGAGTTGCTGAGGTAGCAGCAGATTGAGCAGATAAAGCTACAGATTTAACAGATGAAGCTACAGAACCTTTATTGTGTACAAAGGATTTGGATCTTTCGATTGTTACCAATGTTTTGTAGTTAAATTATTATATAAGTTAAGAGAGAAGTGACTTGAGGAAACACTTACCAATTTTTTATATAAATTACCAATTTTTTTTTTTTGGGTTTTTTAATGAAAATAATTACAAATTAACCCTAAAATTGAAAAATATTTTCAAAAGACACCAATTTGTAGTTTTTAACATGTTTTCATATATTTGGTGTATGTCACCATGTATTATATAATAGTTTATGTAGTTTATAACACATTTCAATATTTGAGATAGTTTGCAACATATTAGTCAATACTTGGTGTAGTTATAAATGATTTTTCCATAATATGCAAATATTATTTATTTCAATATTTTTTTAAGTGTAAAATTGATTTTTTTTATTCGTGTAAATAGTAAAGCATGCTATAAATCAAATAAACTTTCTAATAATGAAATCTATAAATAATTGTAAGTGTGATAAAATATGAATAGTTAAA